TTGGAAAATACTCACTGTAATGAATTCTTGGATCCCACAGCTCCTGATAGATTAAATAAATTGGGTGGCAACCAGTCTAAGAGAAGGGAAACCTTAAATTTTAAATAGTAGAGAAGGCAACACCAGCTACGTGTTAAATTGCAGGATACACAGTCCTATAGCCTTGGTTTTCAACCAGTCTATGACAAGAAGTAACAGCAGTTTACTATGGGGATTCTTCTGCCAAGTCAATCTTGAATCAGACATAGTCACACAAGCATGTATGATGCATAGCACCTAAAGGCAATAGAAAACCACTCCACTATCTTTCCTAATGAATGCATAGCAATTCACAGATAAGGAATAGGAATCTGTGGAGAGTCATGACCATCTACCTTCTGAACAAAACAAAACCTATTAATATGCACACATTGAATGCCATGTCATGGAGCAGTGGTTTGCATGCTTGACTTGTAGACAATTCTTTATTATGTGTGATTTTCATTGGGTGCTCTGCATTTGTTTCCTTGTGCCATATTAAAAACGTAAATATAAATACATTTAAATTTTAAACAGAGCGTCCGTTAGTGATAATTAGCAAGGAAGACTTGTGAGACTGTAGGGATTTTAATTGTTACAGTTTTGTGACTGTGTACCAGACTATACTAAACTTAATAAATACCTATGTAAACTTTAAGCCTGTCAATTCTTCTGATTTGAAAATCAAAACTTGGAATTTTTTACATTTTTTTATCAGTTGTTCTGGCCATATCCCCCCCCCCTTCTTCACTTCACACTAACCTGGAAATTACTTAACAAATTTTTATTTTTTTTTTTTTTTTTTTTTTATTTATTATTATTATTTTTTTTTTTTTTGATATTTTGACTTGAATGTCATGACCTCCCCTTCTGGTGTCCTACTGCCTTTTTATACTTTGAAAGGCAGTGTCCAGCCCAATGTCTCCAATTAGTTTTGTTTCTACCCTCTCCTCCTCACCGCTATCTCTCTTCCTATTTTAATTCCTATGTTGTCTCTCTATTGTTGCTTACCCGTGCTCCTCTTCCTCTCTTGTTGCTTTCTCTCAGATACTACAAGATAACCGACCACCCTGTTGCCCAGTTCTACCTGCTACTCTTTTTTCATTCTCATTACCATTGCCCAGCTTTCTCCGTCTACCTAATACCCAACAGCCCTACCCTACAACAGTTTTCTCTCCTAAAACTGTCCTTTTCTCACCCTTTGTTCTAATTTTAACCCCACCTTTTTCTTTTGCTCTCCTTCACTGGTCGCTAATGGAGAAAATAATATCTAAGCAAAGGCGAAAAGAGCAGAGCAATGACAGGAGATTTTTTTTTTTTTTTAAGCATGACAAGGCTCAAATATTTCTCAGTTTAGCATATTTTAAGCATTAAGTGATGTGCAGAAAACCTGGATGACCAAATCATTCATTTATAGGAAATAAAAGCTATTTCCAACACAATTATATACCTACATACATACCATATTAAAACTTTCTTTTCTACCTAATAACGGACATTGTTACAAACATGATAAAAAGATTCAACAATACAACACACATACCATTTAAATTAAAATATCTATTGGTTAGAAATTAAAATCACCATGTGAAATATTTGATCAATCAGAGAGAAATAAAACCCTATTTTTCTTGAGTTTATTTTTAGGAAAAATTTCTTATAAAAGCCACAGATTTTGACTTTCAGCGATCAGAGATGTGACACTATCCATGTCATTCAAACACAAGAGAAGACATAGCTACATAACCTTTTCCTTTCTTCCACCATGTGCTGGAAGAAACATGTTGACAACTTCAAATAAATCATCTCTAACAAGACAGCAGAGATGGTTAGTGAATCTTTGCTCAAAGTCTTTTCTCAACATCAGATTTTTCTATGTACCAACAACCCAAAGATTTTAACTCAACTAAAGACTATTTTTACTTTTCAACTCTTTTGAATTCATGTCCATATGTTTGTAAATATAAATGATTTCTTTAACAGACATGAAACCATGTTTTCTTTATTTTTGTTTCATTATTGTTTGGAATTCCAACATTCAGATATTTAATATAAGAAAACCTGGAAAAATAGTCCAAATAATGTAAATAGTGAAGACAGCAGAGTTAGTGAATCTTTGCTGATAATCAGTCTTTTCTCAACATCAGATTTTTCTATGTACCAACAGCCCAAAGACTTTAACTCAACTAAAGAGAATTTTTACTTCTTTTCAACTCTTTTGAATTCATGTCCATATGTTTGTAAATATAAATGATTTCTTTAACAGGCATGAAACCATGTTTTCTTTATTTTTATTTCATTATTATTTGGAATTTGAATGTTCGGATTTTTAACATAAAAAAACACTGCATTTCTTACACTAGCATGGGGTCTCTATAATAGCAATTTACTAAGTGTTGCTTAGATGTGGCACAAAGCCAAAAGGAGCACCCAGTGAGGATCACTCATTACTCAGTCATAATCAATCTACCGAGATAAGCTTGTTAACTATTACACCACATCAAAATGCTAAAATGGTTGAGAACTATTGGGTTGGAACAAAAGTTCATAGCCTTTTTTAATTGAATTTCAAAGAGATATTTATATATTTCTATGTAGGTTCATTCAACTACATTTTTGCCATCTTTAAGACAGCTTCATGATTCCCTCCTCTTTGAATTTGGCATCTTTTCTAAAAGAGCATCAAATGATGAGAATGCATTTCATTTTTTCCCATTTTCACTTTTAACATAAAAACATTTAAAATCCAAAATCCACACATGAATTTTATAGAAAGACATGGCAAAATGCCACATTTCATAATATGCATACATGACATAAGTTTAATTCATGTGTGAAATGAAATCATTTGTTCAAACATTGAAAAACGCTATGAGTTTTGTTCCAAGCCAATATGTAAAAAGTAAACATTGTCTTTATCATAATGTAATAACAGTATGGCCATATCACATTGAAACATCGGTTCCCATACAATCACCATAGTTAAACAACATCAAGACTGGTCAATACCTAGATGGGTGACCCCTTGAGAATAACAGGTGCTATAAGCTTGGGTGTGCAGGTGGTGTAGTAGATAATGACTCAGAATTGTTAATTAGAGGGCTGAGTTCCAATTCCAGTTGGGTTCTCTATATTCACTTATATGCAAATACTCTTGGGAAAAGTATGAATTCACCCTTTCTCCTTCAGTTATGTGTTAATTAGTAAAAGTTGTATCAGTAAATCATATATATATATATATATATATATATATTAGAATTTAAAAAAATATTTTCTAGCTGTAAATAACCTGCAAAAGATAAGCCATAGAAAACAAATCAATCAATTAATACCAGTATATTGTATTATAGCATTTTTTCTTTGTTACATACATTGAATCAATAGCTTCATCTACCGCAAGTTGGTTCTATGTGTCACACCAGAAGGTTTTTATCACCCAAGTCCATCCTCCAAATTTATAAATCAACCATTCACCCTTGCATCGAATAGTGCTGCCATATATGGTCTGGAACCACCACTGTTTGTCTCAAGGTCCTTGACAAAATCCATAGATGTATATGCAATGTGATTGGTCCTGATCTGACAGCTTGTCTACAGTCACTTTCTCACAGACATGCAGTCACTTCCCTCTGTCTTTTCTACAAATACTTTCACAGTAACTGCTCCAATGAGCTATTTTTGCTGTTTGCCAAACTGCATGAATTGAAGTGTGCTACTAGGTTGGTATCTCAATCCCGCCATTTCACTGTCAAAACGGTTAAATGTAGCCATCTCTTCTACTCCAATAGCTTCATGTCTCACACTTTCCGTCTGTAGAACTCCTTACTGACTTCCCTGATAGCTATAATCTCGAAATATTCAAATGCAATATCAATCAACATCTTCAGATGTCTTGATCTAATTCCCTGTCCTTTTCTTCATTCTTTCCTTTTTCATCCCTCTTTACTCTTCCTTCCTTTCTCTGTAACCCCTTGCGTGCTAGTGACACTCCTGCCTTGCTTGGGGTGGAATGCTTAAAAGAAAAGAAAAAAAATTAAAAACTTGTTTAAAAAAAATAAAAAACCACAAAGATAATGTTTAAAGGGCATTCAGCATTAATGGACAAAGCTTTATCCTCTTAGTCCATTAGTTTATTCATTTTAAAAAATTTTATTCAGTTTAATGTTTCATTTTTGTATGTGGCTACTGAAGGTACCATTTTCTTCAATTTGTGTGTATATGTATGTGTGAGGTATACAAGCTTTTGTTTTTTTTCATTTATATTTTTATTAAAAAAAAAAAATAAAGGAAAGGAAAAAAGAAATTGTAAAAATTACTTAGTAGTTTACATTCATATTTAACACGACCGGCCCTAACCTTTTGTTAAATGGAAGGTTTTATTTTGATCAACAGGCTTTACACTTGCTAGCACATGATTCAAGATTTAGAGAAATTGAGTCACCTAATGGGTGCACTTAATTGAAAGTGAGGTAGAGGACAAGTGACTATATTTTGACCCGCCTTAAATATCAAAATTACCCTAATAACGTGGGATTAGGGAGGAAAGAGTTAAGCTGTTGACAATGTGATTGTGAAACTGTTAAGTAGTCAGTTTAAAAGTGCTTGTCTGCCATTTTGTGCTCACTCCACAAGGATAAATTGTTTGCAAAGAAAAGGTTTTCATTTTCAAATATTTTTACTAATATATATGCCTATTTATTTTATCTATTTTTTTTTTTTTTTTTTTTTTTTTTTTTAGGAAACCTATATATTACAAGTCTTAAAATATCTTTTTGAGCTTTTAAAATGAAGTATTTTCTTCATTATTTCGTATTACAAAGTAGGAAAAATTAAGATGGTGTTAGTTATTTGAAAATGTTTGTATATTATAATCATAATTATTTTTTTTTTATCTTTATCATAATTTTTTTAATCTTTTTCAGAATTTGATTTTGGCTGCGACAAAGTCAAGACAATGATTTAGCTTTCAAAAGACACCAGTGATGCGAGGTAAGTATGAAAAAACATTAGATGCATTCTCATAAACAATGACTCAACAGGTTTTTTGGTTTCTTTTTTTTAATGAAATTTACTTATACTGTATGAGATTTGCAAGATTTTGTTGGGAAAATGAAATAAAATTAATAAATAAAATACATTTTTCCCATTATCCTAAGAGTAAAGGAACCGGAAATATGATACCCCCCCCACACACACACACTTGGTTTTGTCAAACATTGTTACGTTGTTGAAACCTATAAAAAGGCAAACATTTCCTACATCACTCACTTTCTCCAAGATGTGAACCATGTAGTAATTAGGTTCCTAGTGGGGAATGTTAGTTTAACGACTGTACTCTCTTCCCACTTTCCAATGCATAACGTTCGCACATTTCTTTCAAAACCTATGAAGTAAGGCAAGGTTTCTCTTTGATTATTCCAACTTGGCACAGGGCTGACCTGAGCATAACCACAGTAACGATTCTTATACTGACTTACCCTAACTTTTTGTCTAAGAAAAAGAAAACAGATAGCCCTTACCCATGTTTAAATCTCCCAGTGATAAAGTATCTTTCCTTTGGTCGTTTCAACTCTGCACAAGGTTGACTTGAGCTCGACCATTAATACAGTCATTATACTTGCCTACTCTATCCTGGATAAGACAATGAACTACATCCAACAGCAAGGCCTCTTGGTCAGGAGGCTTTGATGAGAGTGGAACCACCTCTTAATTGCTGGTCCAGTAGAGGTGAACAAAAACTTGGAGAGTTCAGTTAAAGGGAAATAACTGATACTGAGATATCCAGAAGAGGATGGCACATGGAGCTAGAACAGTCTACCCTAGTGGATGAAATTAAAGGGTTCAGTTTGAAATTCCAATCACCTGAAGAAGGCCGGAGCATACAATGGCTGAAATGTGAATATGGCAACAAAGATGAGGACAACAGGCTAAACAATGCAAATAGTGTAAATAATTAACTATGTATTCTTTGGTAAGAGGGAAGTTTCGCTTGGAGAGTTTCTTTGTAGCACGGATGCTTTCCTGAACATGGCAATCTTAACCTCTTTAGGTCTAGTGTCAATCATTATCTATATAGCTATATTTTGAGGTGGCAGCCAGTCATGAAGTAAAACTCTGATTTCAAAATCATCCTAGATCATTTGTCAGGCTCTCTTGTCCTAGACACATGACTGATTCTATGACTGCAATGCATGTGATTCCTCTATGATTCTAATGGATTATGGAACTCATGATTTGACTTTAGATCAGAGTTATCCAAACTAGTGTATCACTGATTATTTTTGTTTTTTAATTGAATTATTTCTTTTTATATACTTTTTGAATTATATATTTGTCTTGGCTAACAAATCTTTGCCAAATCTGTAATTCAATATGTATATAAAAATTGCATTAATAGCATTATTTACTTTATTTATGTTTAATCTATTGTCCTCCTATTTGTTGTTATCACAGTGTTTCGGCCATTATATCCTCTAACCTTCTTCAGGTGTCTTGTGATCCAGGTAACCATCAAAGGATTTTGAACTGAACTATTTATTTTATCAATGAGGGAAGGAGTAGTGTTCTCATTCTGCTATCTGGGATAACTATTTTTATTTAGTACTGCTTAATTATTGCTTGTCATGTTTCCATATGGAGAGCCATGATCACCTTCATCCTGAAATGACCTGGCATTAAAAAAAGAAACTGTTAGAAATTTTTTTAAAAACACATAGTGAACATACATTTTGAAATCTCTGCTCTCGACAGCAGAAATAGTGAAATTATTTCCTTTTGAGATTTGTGGTGATTTGCCATTTGCTTTCAAGCAGCATTTGCTAATAATTGGTAGGGAAAATTGGTAACAAAGATAAAATTTTGCTTTTGAAGATATACATGCAAAAGCAAAATTTCACAGAAAAAAAATCATTTTAGGTTTCCTTAAAATGACAAGGAAAAACAATTTTTTTTGGAAATGAAAAGAAATTGTTCTTTCAAAAAGATTTTGTTCCTCTTGAATAAGAAATACTCCAGATTGTTTATATTTCTGTGTGTGGGTGTTGAACTGGAGACAAATTCTTTTCTTTCTTTCCCTTTTTTTCTCTCTCCTACTTTTTCTGCATCTCAATATCAAATGATTGTTAATCAACCCACATCCATACTGAATAGTGGGCAGAAGAATGCTAACCATTAAGGAAAATGCCTTTGGCCAATCACATTGATTGAGATCACTCACTGCCAGTCACTTGTGAAGATGACGTTTTTCACACACACACACACACACATATATATGAGGAGGCACGGTGAAGTAATGGATAGTGGCTCGGATTGAGGAATCGGAGAGCTATGTTCGAATTCCAGTCGAATTCATTACTTTCACTTATGTGCTAATACCCTTGAGAAAGATATGAATCCTCTTATCTCTCCTGCTATGGGTAAATAGCAGGACAGACTGGGTTCTATAGCCTTGGATGGCAACTGGTCTAAGAGAAGGACAACTCTGAATTCAAAACCTGCGGAGGGTCGTTTGGGGACATTGTGGCACGTAGTGCACAAGGTCTCTGTATTTGGATCTTCAAAAAGTGTGGTTGGTTCTGCATAAAACTTTCACTGATATAATCAAATCTCATGTGCTGGTGTTGGGCTCTCGGTTTCTAGGAACTGATCTGCTTGACCCTTATGTGTTGAATCAACGGGAGAGTCGAGAGAGAGAGTGTGTGTGTATATATATATATATATATATATATATATATTAGCCTTAGTTCTCTAGCCTAATAATGAAAAGGTATTTATTTTAAACAGTTATTTTTTGGAATAATCTTCTTCATTGTAATTGCATTTAATACAGCACTTCTCTATTAATCATATACATTGAACACATTATATAGTAAAAATTCAGATCAAAATCCAGTTACTTTTTGAAAAGTTGGCATAGGTTAATGCTATTATTTAATTTCAAAATTATTCAGAAGGAATAAAAATAATGTCATGTGGTTTGTCATTTAAAACTGAAAATCTACTTAAAAACCTGTTGGACATTACATGACTATTATGTAGAAGTCAGTGTGTTCTAAAACCATATTTATAATTGGAACTTTGATATAGATCTATGTTGAGTATCATCCTGTTGCTCAATAAATTGTTCTAATAAGTCAAAGAGGTGTCTAGTAGGACAATATATAAGAAAATGGTGAGATGCCTCTTAGATACTTTTCAGAAAAGACAGTTCTCACAAGAGTGTTACCAATATTTGAGTTAGCATGGCGTAATTGTCAAGTATGAAGAACCTCAATTCTAAAATATAGGCAATGTCGACTAAACTTGAGAAATGATTAAATGGCACATTCACTTCTATGGAGAGCTAAAAATCTTTCCTGGTGATAAAATCCTCCCAGAGAAATGATAGTTGGCAATTTATGTCCTATCTCTTCTCCAGTGAGTTCAGTTTACAGGCCATTGTTATTGAGCAAAGAATGAGGTTGTCTTATCACCAGTCCTTTGGAGACTGTAATTCCATGGCAGGAAAAGTAAGAAAGTAACCTTCTCTGATGACATCAGTAGAGGTAGCACCTATACAGGATCATGAGTATGGATGATTTTGACTAAGGTTGAAAAATGTTGATGAAAGTTCTTACACTTCCAATAAAGTAAGAATGGAATTCAACAAGCTACCAATTTGATGAGCTACTAAGTGTTTAAATGGGCTCCATTTGAAAGCTCACTGTTACTAAATTCTGAATTGACTGACTTATCAAACGTAACTTGCAAAATACCCCTAGTGATGAAACTCTGAATTTATATATGTTGGCCTATAAAAATCTATTTGGTGTTACATTCTAGATGGTGATGCCAAGAAGTTCATTGTCTGACCTATTTTATAAAATTTGGCCAAAAAGATATTTTGAGGAAGGGCTTCTTTGTGAAGGCAAGAACCTTTTAGTACTCTCTTATATTTCGCCTTAATACAAGAGTTTGTGTGTCAATTAGACATTTGGACTTTATGCAAAGGCATCAGTTGTCTGAGTTTCCATAATTTATATTTTAGCAGATTTTATCTTGTCTCTTGGCATCCATCCTTCTTGGTGTAACTGCCCAAAAGATTTGGTTTGTGCTTGTCAAAGAAAACCATTTTATTACATTGAGAGCTACAAAAAGTGATACTTAACAATACAAGTTATTCTTAACATGGCTTCTTAGGGGTGCTATGAGCTCACAAAGAAGGCACTAAATATTTGGGGGAGTTATAGAAGCAGCACTATAATTTTGACAGAACAGTAAGATGTTTTAATGCTTTACAATCTTTATTGGGACCAAATCACAACTTTTTTTTTTTTAATATGCACTTATCTTCTTACCTATGTTTTTACACTTTCAGATGTATTTTAAATATTTAACTGAAATTGCAATATGTATATCGAGCAAAACCCATGCAAGCTAAAGTTAAGCAGTTTCTTTGCTCTGATTCAATGACTGCTGCTTGGCTGTTCTTGCTGTGGATTACTAGATTGATTGATCAATCAGGAAGGTTAAACTTGATTGATTGATTTGGAAAGTTGAACTTGGTTAATTGATTGATCTGGAAGGTTGAAATTGGTTAATCAATCGATTGATTGATATGGAAGGTTGAAATTGGTTGATTGATGGATTGGTCGATCTGGAAGGTTGAACTTGATTGACTGCTCTGGAAGGTTGAACTTGATTGATTGATTGATCTGGAAGGTTGAACTTGATTGATTGATTGATTGATCTGGAAGGTTGAACTTGATTGATTGATTAATTGATCTGGAAGGTTGAACTTGATTGATTGATTAATTGATCTGGAAGGTTGAACTTGATTGATTGATTGATTGATCTGGAAGGTTGAACTTGATTGATTGATTGATTGATCTGGAAGGTTGAACTTGATTGATTGATTGATCTGGAAGGTTGAACTTGATTGATTGATTGATTGATCTGGAAGGTTGAACTTGATTGATTGATTGATTGATCTGGAAGGTTGAACTTGATTG